TCTGATACATATTGATGCCCTCATGCCATGTAGAAAGTTTTAACCAATGTCAAGCACAATTTTTGAGTTATGGTCATTAAAATGAATCTAAAAATGCCCCATTAGAGTCTTCCAATTTTTTTGAATTTTTAATTGCTATAGTTTTTGTATTATTAGTATTTATGACAACATCTCTCTCTCTCTCTCTTATCTTACATCAGTTGTAGGACCAATTCCATTAACGTCGTCATTGAGCTTCACTTGTTTGGTGGTGGGTAAAGTAAGTGAATGTGACTACAAGAAATACATGAACATTATTATCACCATTATTATTATTTTATTATTATCATCATTTTATTATTATTATTATCATTACGATTGAGTTTATATCAGATGGTGTGATGGCTGGAGAGCGTGTGGTGAGTGATGAGTCTGGAGTTGTCCCTGACGAAGCTTTTGCTTGATATTTTCTTAACTAAATAATAATGGGAAAGAGGCAAAACATTTAGTACAAATAACCAATTATATTAAAGGATTTTAAAAATAAGATTCTTTGAAGAGAGGGCTCTCACTTTCTTTTTTCCCAGGGCAAGTTTTTCTGTCTTGTCCATCTCAAAGAAATTGGAGGACAACAGTCAGTGCTGAAGAACAAGAATGCCCATTCAATTTTAAAATTTACACATTTTAATTTTATTTTTATTACGCACAATTAGATAGACTTTACGGTCAAGGTCACATTCGAATAAAAAGAAAATATTTCGGTAAAAATTTAACCCTTTGCCTTTAACATTATTCACTGCAGGATCAGTGGATCACTTTTGCACCATAATCAATTTATGTACTGTGCTGTGAGGCGTAAGCTGACCAGGCTCAGGGCTAGCTGTTTTTTAAATTACTTATCTTCTTTCTCTGGACCTTTGTACAAGAAATCCAGCACCAATTATCTTCCTACCATGAGCTCTGGGAGACTGGATACACCTCAATTTAAAAGCTTATTGACTCCTGGTAACGTTATTAGAATTATGTATAATGGCTGCAAATTAATTTGTATTTGACTATATACAATAAATGATGCTGTGACTGATGGGTTTTGTAGTGGCGGGTACTGTGAAATATATTATGATTTTTTATTAATTGGGAGTTTCAGAAATCAGCTATCATATGACTGCAAATTAGGAAATATTTATGTTATTATTATTATTATTATTGTGACTGGTTGGTTTTCATGGAAGAGATGTTTTGATTTTAATATTAAATGGTTGAGGGAGTTTCGGCATACTTCAAATTAGATAATCTGCTGTACATTTAGTATTCATGTTATTATTATTATTATTATTATTATTATTATTATTATTATTATTATTATTATTATTATTTTCTAGATCTTCTAAAAATAGAGGAGTTGTTCAGGTCGGAAGGTTACTCATTGCGTTTGGTGGGTGGAGCTGTTCGTGACCTCCTGCTGGGTAGAAATGCTAAGGATATTGACCTAGCAACAGACTGCACTCCTGATGGAATGATAAAACTGTTTGAGAGAGAAGGAATCAGGTAAAGAAACAATTATAATTATTACATGTACTTGTGTACATGTACTTTGTGATAGATTAGTATTTGATGATATATTATGTAGCATGTACATGCACATGAATGTGAAATTGAAATTTTAGGTTTTTGGAAATTTAACAATGTCTATCATCTTTTACTGTGTTAATTTCATTTTGCATGTCATGAAGTATTAAAAATGACAATATGCATTTGAGTAATCTTGATAATGATTTTAATAATAATTTTGACACTTAACAATATTACATGTAGATTAATACAATACAATATATTTTCTATTATCTTTTACTGTATCAATTTGATTTTGTATGTCATTATGCATCATAAATGACAAAATGTACATGTACATGAATAATATATAGTTTTCATAACATACATGTAGGTACATACCAACTGGTCTTAATCACGGGACTATAACAGTCCACACTGATCGATCCAACGACTATGAGATAACGACACTGAGGATAGACCATGTGACTGATGGAAGACACGCTCTTGTTCAGTTCACCTCTGACTGGGTCAAAGATGCCGAGAGAAGGGACCTCACTATTAATTCAATGAGTCTTGGTTTTGACGGAAAACTCTATGATTATTTTGACGGTCAGAAACACCTTGCAGAGAGAAAGTTATTATTTGTGGGAGATGCTGTATCAAGGATACAGGAAGACTATCTTAGGATACTGAGATATTTCAGGTAATTGATGTACTAGTCTGCTATCATAAATGACTATGTTTTTTGTGCACATAATTGTACATGTACATGTGCACGTACTTTCAATGATAATAAATTCATTATTTATGCTCTCCAGAGAGTTTCTCTTTATGTACATGTCTTGTCACCCTACATATCAAATTTCTATTGATTATTGTGATAGTTTTAATCCTTATTGCTTGTACATTATATAATAATTTAATTGCCTTTCACAATTTAAAAAAAATAAAACCTTACCTTGTTCCTTTGGCTGTAGCCACTGTATAAGCCTGTATTTATTATTATTATTATTATTATTATTATTATTATTATTATTATTATTTGTTAGGTTTTATGGTCGTATATGTCTTCTACCCAATGCTCATGATCCAGATACGCTGACTGCCATTAGGGATAATGCTGTGGGTCTCACTAAGATATCAGTCGAGAGGATATGGAGCGAAATGAGTCGTATACTGGTCGGTAACCACTCACCCCATCTTGTTAGTCTAATGTATGAACTGGGCGTGGCAGCTAATATAGGTAATTAATTAAGATCATTATGCATGTACATGTACTTACTGCATGCATTAATACCCTTAGGCTTATTAATAATGCAATGTAACTATTAATAATAATTACTTAATTGTAATTTTTAATATCGGCAAAATCTATCTAGTGCTAAAATTACAAAATTTAGTACCCACAATTAAAAAGTCACTCTAAGCTATCATTAGGATACTTTACCTGTTCAAGCATTACTGGTATGCTTTTAAAATATTCAGAATGTTGTCTTGTTTCTATACGTTAGGTTTGCCTGATGACGGTAATTTGAGTGAGTTGACTAAAGTATGGGAGAGCATGCACGGACACTATCAGTTGGAGCCAGTTTGTTTATTAGTCTCTTTACTCAAATCAGGAGAGGAGGTCGAGCGGTTTAGTAGACAATGGAAGCTATCGAACTTGGAGCGGAAACTAGGAATGTTTGTGAGCAACGAGAGAGAAGCTTGCTATCAAGGAGCACCACTGAAGTATTACAAAGATCAGCTAGTTGATGGAGAGTTTAGGAATCATGTACTGGAATTGCTCAAGTATTGTAGCCGATTCTCTGATAGCACTGTGCTAGAGGGATGGACGGTACCAGTGTGTCCTGTGAATGGTAATGACTTGAAGAAGGCTGGTATAGCTAGTGGACAAAAATTGGGTGAAACTTTGAAGGACATTAGAAGAAAGTGGAAGGAGAGTTGCTACGAATCGTCAAAAGAGGATCTACTTGCAACTTTAAAATGATATTTAAAAAATATAATTTTTATCATTATTAAATCTAGAGTTAACAATGAATCTCATTTTATTTGTAGTAGGTGTGCATGTACAGTAATTAATTTTGCTGAGTGTAATTCTCAGTCATCTGGTGAATTGTTTCAATTTGGAAATGATTCGTTTCTGTAGTTGGCAGAGACGGCTAGCCCTGACAGGCGGTATAAGATGGAAGGCTACTAGCTCTAGAGTAGAGAAAGCCGAGTCTTCAGTACAGGACAAGGCCGTGAAGCCATTCTCCGCCATACCCAGCCCTCCTGGATCATTACCTTTCATTGGACACATAAGACTGTTGAAAGGCCTCACTTCTTTGAGTGAACTCACTTCGAAGCTATTCAAAGACCATGGAAGGATATTCAGATTTGACTTTATAGGTAATCAAAAATACTCAAAATACATGTAGATCATCCCTAGATAGTTTATTTATATAATTTTATTTCATAAAAAAGACACCATTGTTTTTATGAACTGTCCCGCTTTTGGTCAAGACTAGGCATGCCTTAAAGAGATTCTATTTACTAACCTATAGTCTATCTATTATTGTTTACAAATACGGGTAGTAATGTTATTATTTTTCACTTTAATATTCTAGGCTATTCTTCAGTATTTATAGCAGACCCATCTGCAGTAGAGAAGACATTTCGACATGAAGGAAAGTACCCTAGCCGATCTTTTACTGAAGCTAATGTTGATTATATTCTGAAGCAAAGGAACGATCGGAATTTTTTTGTCTTCCAGTAAGCACTTTCTTTATGTTGGTAATCATTTTTCAAAACATTTGGCCCTGGAAACCAATTTAGTAGGGGGACCAAAATTGTATGGGACCAATTTTTGTGACAGGCCTATGATTAAAAATTATCTCATTCATACTTTACACTTTGTACTTAGGTCGGGTGAAGAATGGCGTGATACTCGTTCCAAGCTAGGAAAGCAGTTGATGCCTGCCAATGTTTATGGGTATTGTCCTGGTTTTAATAAAGTCTCAAGAAGATTTATAAGAAATGTTTATGATGTTCAGAACGATGATGGTTTTGTGGAAGATGTGAGAGACTTGATCAGATACTGGTCACTAGAAGGTACACTGATGTATAAATTATAAAAATTACATATTGAACTTGTTTGTTAAAAATAGTTGCTGCTCATTTTGCATATGGAGCTGATATTGATAGCATAAAGAATAAAGGAGGCCTAGAGAAAGAGTTCCAAGATGCAGTCGGAGGTCTTGTGGATACTTTGTTTGATTTGCAGACTGGCCCACCACTTTATAAAGTCTTCCCAACAAAAGCCTACAGGGAATTTAACAAATATTTGGACAAATTGATTGAGATTGGACAAGTCTATGCTGATCAGTACACGTCTGATATAAAGGAAAGAGCTGCTGTGAGTGAGGAGAAATTTCATGGGATGAGTCTACTAGAGCAATGGCTGATAGAAGGGAAAATGAGCGCTAAAGATGCCATCTCTCATTCTATTAACATGCTAGCTGCTGGAATGGACACTGTGAGTTTTACTATATTTTTACAATTTTTTAGTCTTTGGTCACTGCAATGCTTCCATGTATAGACTGCACACACTACTGCTTTTGTTCTGTACACATTATCCAAGCATCCTGAAGTACAGGAGAAAGCATATAAGCAGATAACATCAGTATTAGGTGATGATGAAGAACCTGATGGAGATTCACTACAGAAAATGCCTTACCTGGGACATCACATTAAAGAAACACAGAGGTTAAAATCTTGTATCATCATTTATGTATAACTCAATCAATATACATATGTAGATTGTATCAAGTGACTCCTTACACTGCAAGATGGCTTGAAACTGATGTTGAGTTGTTAAACTATCATATCCCAGCAAAAGTAATTGTATAATTAATGTGACATACTGTATACCGGTTTATTTTCGCGATGGAAAATTTTCACGAATCTTGCATTTCTACGATTTTATGGAATTAATTTTTGTGAATTGCTTGCAGACTGTACCACGTCGCAATGGAGAGCAGACTTTCGTGGTGAAAAATTTCGTGAATGATCACAAACCTGCGAAATTCGTGAAAATATTTTACCACGAAAATAAACCGGTATACGGTACACAGTTTAACTGCATCCTCCATTTTAAGACAACAATATTTGGTGGATTGGAAACTATGGGTCAAGACCCTACGCTCTTTAAGGATCCATTGAAGTTCAATCCCGATCGCTGGACCACTGATGACATACATCCATTCACAGTGTTACCTTTTGGATTTGGACCTAGAGGCTGCTGGGGTACATAATGATACTGTAACTACATCAAGTTATATTGTTATACATGTAGGACGAAGATTTGCTGAAATTGAAATGAAAGTTCTTTTGTGTCAAGTAAGCTAAAATGTAGGATTTAACTTTTTATGTTTTTATTGTATAGCTCATTCGTCACTTTAAAATGGAATGTGATTTTCCTAGCGATAGATTGCCGTCTGGTGGTTTGATGCTGAAAAGACCCACTGCCCCCATCAGAATTAAATTTACCCCTCGCAATTAATAGCTACTGCAAGATATAACAATTTTTATTGTTTATACATGTATGTATGTCATGTCATGAAAATAATTCGTCTATTATTATTATTATTATATCTACCATTTTAGCTCTAACTATAGCTCTTGGGTGTGTAGAGTATTGATGACACAATTAATGGGTAGGCGTGAGTGAATTTGTTGATTTGTTGACTAATCACTGCATGTGACACTAAAATTAAATTATAAAAAAATAAAGAGATGATACGTTTCTCTCAGCGTTTTTGTAGTTTGCATAGCCGGCCCATAGCCCTGACAGGAGGTTTAAGATGGAAGGCTACTACTTCAACAGCAAATGCTTCGAGTTCGACACAAGGTGATGGGACGGTGAAGCCGTTCTCCGCTGTGCCTAGCCCTTCAGGCTCTGTGCCAATTATTAAACATCAGAGGCTACTAAAAGGAATCACTTCTATGAGTGAATTCACTGTAGAACACTTCAAAGAGTTAGGACCTATTTTTAAACTTGATTTTATGGGTAAAGATATATAGATAAATCTAACCTAGTGTGGCTATTAGATCCGCTAACCATAGCTATGTCTAAAATTATTATCCTCATTGAAAATTATTATTTTAATTTGATAGGTCAATCAGTTGTTTATGTTGCTGATCCCTCTGCAGTAGAAAAAGTATTCCGAAATGAAGGGAAGTACCCAACCAGAGATACTAGTGAGAAAAACATCAATTGGATTTTAAAACGAAGGAATGAAAGCAATTTTGCTTTTCAGTAAGCTAGCTAGAAAAAGTTGCATCCAGAAGTGCCTGTAAACAAAACCCCAACTCTCTAGTGTTTACAAGCACTTCCAGTTGTAGCAATGGACATTACAAGTAGCATTCCAAAATTATATATATTGTACTATAATAGATCTGGTGAAGAATGGCGTGTTAATCGTTCCAAGCTAGGAAAGCAGTTGATACCTGCCAATGTTTATGGGTATTGTCCTGGTTTTAATAAAGTCTCAAGAAGATTTATAAGAAACGTTTATGACGTTCAGAACGCTGATGGTTTTGTGGAAGATGCGAGAGACTTGATTAGATACTGGTCATTAGAAGGTAACGTAATAGTCTTGATGCAAGCATACTGAAATACATTCCTTTATTAGTTGCTACTCATTTTGTTTATGGAGCCGACCTTGACTGTAGAAATGATAAAGAAGGCCTTGCAAAGGAACTTCAAGATGCGGTTGGAGGCCTGCTTGATTGTATTTTTGATTTACAGACAGCCTTGCCTCTCTTTAAAGTTTTTCCCACTAAAGCTTATAAAGATTTCAACAAAAACATGGACAAGTTAATTGAGATTGGACAAGTCTATGCTGACAAGTACTCATCTGATATAGAGGCAAGGGCTGCAGTGAGTGATGAGAAATTTCATGGGATGAGTCTACTAGAGCAATGGCTGATTGAAGGGAAACTGAGCATTAAAGATGCCATCTCTCATTCTATTAATATGCTGGGAGCAGGAATGGACACTGTGAGTTTTTATATGTTTAGTCTTTGTTACAGCAATTTTCCATGTAGACCGCACACACTACTGCCTTTGTTCTGTACTCATTATCCAAGCATCCTGAAGTACAGGAGAAAGCATATAAGCAGATAACATCAGTATTAGGAGATGATGAAAAACCTGATGGAGATTCTCTACAGAAAATGCCTTACCTGGGACACCTCATTAAAGAAACACAAAGGTAAAATAAATCTTGTGTATACCTTAAGTTAATATCCTAAAAATCAATTCTCTGAAAGGATGTTTTTGGAAAAATTACAAATACCATAATTATTAGAATAACATGCTTAATTATTATGAATTTTGTCATTATTGATAGATTATACCCTGTGGCTCCTTTTGTGCCAAGAATGCTAGACACTGATATTGATCTATTAGGCTATCATGTTCCTGCTAAAGTAAGTATATTGATGACCAAACCTTGTCATTAAATTTTTTATGAAGACAACAATAGTGCCAGGATTGGAAGCTATGGGTCAAGACCCTACACTTTTTAAAGATCCATTGAAGTTCAATCCTGATCGCTGGACCACTGATGACATACATCCATTCATTTTGTTACCATTTGGATTTGGACCTAGAGCCTGCTGGGGTACATAATGATACTGTAACTACCTCAAGTTATATTGTTATACATGTAGGACGAAGATTTGCTGAAGTTGAAATGAAAGTTCTTCTGTATCAAGTAAGCTAAAAATTTACATGAGATCCAACTGTTTTATAATTTATTGTATAGCTCATTCGTCACTTTAAAATGGAGTCTGATTTTCCTAATGACAAATTGTCATCAAGTGGTTTGGTGTTGAAAAGACCAACTGTCCCTATCAGAATCAAGTTTACACCTCGCAATCAATAGCTGTTATAAGATAACCAAAATTATTCTGCTGCAGTGTTTATTTTCTATGCCAAGGACCAATTTTTTAAATTTTTATGCTAAAATTCATTATTGTTATGCTGATCAAGATTTTGTTTGTTGAGATTTAATGAGTTCCTCCAGTGCCCACTTCTTGTTCTCAATCTCAGCCATCACTTGATGATACTCTTCAGCCAGTGACAAAGTCTGTCCTAAAGCTCTGATAATGTTCCAGTGATTGTTGAGTGTCTATTAACTGTAGCTCACTGTTGATGTGCAGAATCCAACTATGACCTAAAGAATTATCATTAATAAGTACATGTACTTCTAATCTTCTGAACCTTATTTCTTTTGACGCTGGATTCTTCTCTGCATGGTGTATAAGTGGCAACCAATAGATCTAATTGTAGTTAGTAACTCTGTACAAATCGATTAGCTCAATATTTAATTGCTTTACTTTAGTTGATGCATTGAAGTTCAATCCTGATTGCTGGGCCACTGATTACATACAACCATTCACAGAATTCACTGTGTTACCATTTGGATTTGGACCTAGAGCCTGCTGGGGTACATAATGATACTGTAACTACCTCAAGTTATATTGTTATAAATGTAGGACGAAGATTTGCTGAAACTGAAATGAAAGTTCTTTTGTGTCAAGTAAGCTAAAATGTAGGATTTAACTTTTTTCATGTGTCAAAGATCGCTTTGACTTTTAAAAGAATTTATTAGATTAAACAAGTGGAGAACAACCAAATAATAACTCAAAACTCTATTTATACTAATCACAAGGTTCCAGAAACTTCTGGACACATACAAATACATGAAAGTTACACAGTCTTCTGGAGGGTTCCAAAAAGTACAATAATACAATACAGAGATAAGTCACATTTTCTAGAATGTTCCAGTCAGTAAAATAGTACAATACAATTAGAGTACAATAACTATTACATTATAGATCCTTTACATCATGATTTATTGTATAGCTCATTTGTCACTTAAAATAGAGTCTGATTTTCCTAGCAATATTACCATCAGGTGGTTTGATGCTGAAAAGACCCACAGCCCCTGATCAGAATCTAACAATTTTATTGTTTATGTGTCATGTCATGAGTATGGCTTGCGAGACTATAAACATTACCATTTTAGCTCTAACTCTCAGGTGTAATGAGTAAGCGTGAGTGAGTTTGTTGATTTGCTGACTGGTAGATCTCTATCAGTAATCACTGTGACACTAAATAAAGAGATGATATGTTTCTCTCGACGTTTCTGTAGCCGGCAGAGCCAGCCCATAGCCCTGACAGGAGGTGTAAGATGGAAGGCTACTACTTCAACAGCAAATGCTTCAAGTTCGACACAAGATGATGGGACTGTGAAGCCATTCTCAGCTGTGCCTAGCCCTTCAGGTTCATTGCCAATTATTAAACATCAGAGGCTACTAAAAGGAGTCACATCTATGAGTGAATTTACTGTAGAACGCTTTAAAGAACTGGGACCTATTTTTAAACTTGAATTTATAGGTATCTACAAATTTAATGTTGGTTTCAGAATTTCATATATGCATGTAGGTCAATCAGTTGTATATGTTGCTGATCCCTCTGCAATGGAAAAAGTATACCGGAATGAAGGAAAATACCCAACCAGATCTATTGTTGAGGAAAACATTGATTGGATTATGAAAAAAAGAAATGATCGGTGCTTTTTTGTTTTTCAGTAAGCCTTAAATTACTTAAGATACAGCAAAAATCTTTTTTACTAAAATTAGTATGTGCATGTGATTTAATACACATAAATAGGTCAGGTCAAGAATGGCGTGATACTCGTTCGAAGCTAGGAAAGCAGTTGATGCCTGCCAATGTTTATGGGTATTGTCCTGGTTTTAATAAAGTCTCAAGAAGATTTATAAGAAATGTTTATGATGTTCAGAATGATGATGGTTTTGTGGAAGATGTGAGAGACTTGATCAGATACTGGTCACTAGAAGGTACATGTGTATAAGACTTTTATGCTATAATTAATTCTTTAATAGTTGCTGCTTATTTTGTTTTTGGAGCCAGCCTTGACTGTAGAAATGATAAAGAAGGTTTTGCAAAGGAACTTCAAGATTCAATTGGAGGCCTGCTTGATTGTATTTTTGATCTACAGACAGCTTTGCCTCTCTTTAAAGTTTTTCCCACTTCCACTTATAAGGATTTTAATAAGCACCTGGACAAGGCAATTGAGATTGGACAAATCTATGCTGACAAGTACGTATCTGATATAAAAGCAAGTGCAGCAGTCAATGAGAAAGTGCATGGGATGAGTCTACTAGAGCAATGGCTGATAGAAGGAAAACTAAGCACGAAAGAGGCCATCTCCCAGTCTATCAATATGCTGGGGGCAGGAATGGACACTGTGAGTTTTACTATAAATTCAGACTTTAAACTTATTAGCAAAGTTTTTATATAGACTGCAGTCACTACTGCCTTTGTTCTGTACACATTATCCAAGCATCCTGAAGTACAGGAGAAAGCATATAAGCAGATAACATCAGTATTAGGTGATGATGAAGAACCTGATGGAGATTCTTTACAGAAAATGCCTTACCTGGGACATCACATTAAAGAAACACAAAGGTTACATAAACAATAATTGATATATGAACATTATTGTGGCTTTTGACCATATGCATAGTCTACATTAATTTGTACTTTTGATAGGCTTTACCCTGTGATTGCTTTCATGCCAAGAATGCTTGACACTGATATTGATATATTAGGCTATCATATTCCTGCTAAAGTAAGTGGTTACAAATCAAATACTTTGTCATTGACTTTTTTGTTAAAGACAGCAATATTGGGAGGAATGGAGGCTATGAGTCAAAATCCTACACTTTATAAGGATCCATTGAAGTTCAATCCTGATCGCTGGTCAACTGATGACATACACCCATTCACTATGCTACCATTTGGATTTGGACCTAGAGCCTGCTGGGGTACATAATGATACTGTAACTACCTCAAGTTATATTGTTATACATGTAGGACGAAGATTTGCTGAAATTGAAATGAAAGTTCTTCTGTATCAAGTAAGCTAAAAATTTACATGAGATCCAACTGTTTTATAATTTATTGTGTAGCTCATTCGTCACTTTAAAATGGAGTCCGACTTTCCTAAGGACAGATTGTCATCAAGTGGTTTGGTATTGACAAGACCCAGTGTCCCCATCAGAATCAAGTTTACGCCTCGCAATCAATAGCTGTTATAAGATTTAACAATAATAATTCCGCTGCAGTGTTAATTTTTTATGCCAAGGACCATTTTTAATTGTTTCTACTAAAATTCACTATTGCTATGCTGATCAAGATTTTGTTTGTTGAGATTTATGAGTTCCTCCAGTGCCCACTTCTTGTTCACAATCTCAGCCATCACTTGATGATACTCTCAGCCAGTGACATAAAGTCTGTCTTAAGGCTCTGATAATGTTCCAGTGATTGTTGAGTGTCTATTAACTGTAGCTCAAGCTGTTGATGTGCAGAATCCAAATACGATCTAAAGAATTATCATTAGAATATAAATACTAGTTCTTCTGTACCTTATTTCTTTTAATGCTGCATTTTTTTTTCTGGTGTATAAGTGGCAACCAATAATTGTAGTTTAATAACTCTAATAGCTATAGTTACAATACTGTGTATAATACAATAACTAATGAATATAATTATAGCTGCAAATTTCTACCCGGGCAAAGCCCGTGCTTGCCCGGGTCCAAATACGCCTATGGACTTTGTGCTAATTAAACAATTTAGGCTGATTAAGCAATTTAGGCTGTCTGGCTGTGACTAGAGGGTCAGTCAGTGACTACTGAATAGGTGGCATTGTCTACAAAAGAGCAACAAGATGATTCGTTTCTGTTGTTGGCAGAGACGGTTACCTCTGACAAGTTGCATAAGATGGAAGGCTACTAGTACTAGCTCAAGAGTAGAAGACAAGGCTGTGAAGCCATTTTCCGCTATACCCAGCCCTCCTGGCTCTTTACCTTTCGTCGGACATTCAAGATTATTGAAAGACGTCACTTCTTTTACTAAATTTGCTGCAAAGCATTCCAGAGAGTTGGGACCTATATTCAAACTTAATATGATGGGTAAGCTTAACAAGAGATCCAAATGACATGTAATGATATATTTCTACTGCATCTGAATTTAACTCTCTAGTTTTTTTGTAAAAATGCCATCTACAAAGTGTAGAGTTAATGGGCGTATGAGATCTAACACATACACATGCAGCATACCTTGAATATACAGCCTCATGATACTGGATGTGTCAAATGGTGATTTGGGCCACTGAAGACTGAATCAGTCATGATTTATAGATTAACAGAAATAACACTAACCAGCTTTTCATGTAGATCTACATTATCTACTCTTGATCTCTATAAGAGAATTTATTTGTATAGGTCAATCAGTGGTTTTTATTGCTGATCCACATGCAGTGGAGAAAGTTTATCGACATGAAGGAAAGTATCCAGTCAGATCACTTAGAGATGAAAATATGAATTCGATCGTAAAAAAAGAAGTGGATGTAATCTCATTTGCTTTCCAGTAATGAAAATTTTATAATTTATTATGTTTGCTCAAATCCAGAGTTGATATTAATCTAAGTTGTATATAGTGGCCTACTTGTAGATCTAGTCTTCTAGATAGTATAAATTATTGCAGCTACCAATTATAATTGTAAATATAGACAATGAAGATATTTTAACTTGATTTGCATGCATATAGATTCTACATGATTCTTTAAATGGTATAGAACTGGTGAAGGATGGCGTGTTAGTCGCTCTAAATTTGGAAAGCACCTGTTGCCTGCCAATGTTTATGGCTATTGTCCTGGTTTTAATAAGGTGTCCAAAAGATTTATAAGAAATGTATATGAAATGCAAAATAACGATGGTATTGTTGATGATATAAGAGACCTGATCTTATACTGGTCACTAGAAGGTAAGAGACGGGTCTCTATGGCTTTCAATATCTGGCTATTATTTTTCTTGTACATGTAGTTTCATCTTATTTTGTGTTTGGAGCTGATCTTGACAGTAGAAATGATGAAAATGGTGAAGCAAAAGAGTTGAAAGATGCATTTGGGGGCTTCATTGACTCTATTTTTGATCTGCAGTTCTCACTTCCACTATATAAAGTGTTTCCTACTGCAGCTTATAAGAAATTTGTTAAAAGTTTACGAGAAGTTCATAAAATTGGTCGAAAGTATGCAGATAGATACATATCTGATATAAAAGCAAGGGCTGCAGTGAATGAGAAAATTTATGGGATGAGTCTACTGGAGCAATGGCTAATTGAAGGGAAAATGAGTCCAGATGAAGCTGTTGTTAATGCTGTTGAATTTTTTGCAGCAGGAATAGACACTGTAAGTTAAATATTATTTTAAACTAATGAACATGGATCTAATACCATAATAGACTGCCCACACTACAGCTTTTACATTATATGAGCTAGCCAAACATCCTGAAGTTCAAGAGAAAGCATACAAGCATTTAATAGATAATAAAGAAGAAGCAGATGAAGTGGATGGCAATTCACTTCAAAAATTAACATATTTGGGCCATATTTTAAAAGAAACACAAAGGTAATGACAATTACTGGTTGCTTGCACTAACACTAAATGACCCATCACTTTTGACCCTTGATACAGTGCTGTATTTTCCTTAAAATGTTGTGTCACAGTTGGCACCTTTGATCATTGTACAATCTGATCTTGAAGTCTGCTGACAAAAATATTTTTAATTGCTTCTGTGTTGTTGGACTCAAGACTCTGCATGGGCTAGTGCTAGGCTAAGCAGTGATACAATTATAATTATAGCACTTGACCACCTAACTTTATTAGTTGTGTCAAAAGTACTTTTGGTTGTTTAATTATATTAGGTTTTACTCAGTGAGTAATTTCACATCTAGAATATTACTTGATAAAGACATTGAATTGCTTGGGTACCATATTCCAGCTAAGGTGAGTAAGCTTATTTTGGGACTAGGCATTAATTATTACTTTAAGACACAATTATTGGGTGTAATGGAAGCTATGGGTCAAGATCCTAAGCTTTTCAAAGATCCACAGAAGTTTAATCCTGATCGCTGGACAACTGATGATATTCATCCTTTTATTGTTCTGCCATTTGGATTTGGGCCCAAAAGCTGTTGGGGTATGTCATTATATATACAAAACATTAATAATGCTCATAGGAAGGAGGTTTGCTGAAGTGGATATAAGAGTTCTCATCTCACAAGTATAATTATTAATTCTGCAGACCTATCATTTTAAATCTAATGCTAGCTTGTTCAACAATTTAAAATGGAATCTAAATATCCTGGGGACAGATTGCCATATGATGGCATGACCTTATCGAGGCCAAGTGTTCCTATTAAAATTAAGTTTATTCCTCGCAATTAACACTTTGCAGATTGTGTACATGTAATTACACTAATGTATTTTTTATGATTTTATGTATAGCAAATGTTAGAATTTACTATTGTCTCTTATGCTAGCTGTCAATCAGTAGATAAGGATTATTATTCTGCTGCAGTGTTTATTTTCTATGCCAATGACCAATTTTTTTAATTGTTTCTACTAAAATTCATTATTGTTATGCTGATCAAGATTTTGTTTGTTGAGATTTAGCAAGTTCCTCCAGTGCCCACCTCTTGTTCTCAATCTCAGCCATCACTTGATGATACTCTTCAGCCAGTGACATAAAGTCAGTCCCAAGGCTCTGATAATGTTCCAGTGATTGTTGAGTGTCTATTAACTGTAGCTCCAGCTGTTGATGTGCAGAATCCAAATACGATCTAAAAAAACTATCATTAGAATATAAAATACTAGTTCTTCTGTACCTTATTTCTTTTAATGCTGCATTCTTCTCTGGCGTATAAGTGGCAACCAATAATTGCAATTTAATAACTCTGTACAGATCGTTGAGGATTAGCTCAAAATATTTATTTGCTTTACTTTAGTTTAAGATCAAGTGCTTGGGTTTTAGTTACCAAGTAATCAACGTTAGACTCAGTTTTTGATGCAAGATACTTTACTTGATATTTTGATATAAGATTATCAAGTGCTTGACAGCATTCGCTTAATACCTGATCAGAATATATTATTATTTATGTAATAATTATTTTTAAGCTACTGTAAAAAAATAATTACTTTGTAATGCTCCATTTTTGTTGAGTGAATCTTTTGCTTGAGCTCCAGGAGACATTGCTCTTTTTGTTTGACGCCTTCACGTTTCTCTCTCACTAATGATGGAATACTTTTCAGCTGTGCCTCAGATAGGTCCTTGGAAGATACTAATGAAATGAAAAATAATATTGATTACTTTGCTGGTATTTTTAGTAGAAATAGGAGTGTATATACATACAGTCAATGTACATAATCTAATTTAATCTATAAAATGTAAAATCTAAATGCAAATGTAAAGTCTGTTTGCAAATACTTGTGTACCTTCTTCCTCGTTCAGCCATGATGCTATCTGCGAGCACTCTTCACTAGCCATCTCATTTACTCTTTTAAAAACTGCAGTTCTCTCCCGCTTCCATTCCTTATCATTGGAGTGGGCATACTTGTTCCAGTGATGATCCTCAATGGCCAGTGAGTCCTTGTATTGTGCAGCTTCTGCTCTTCCTAAACGTTCACGTAAGGATTCGTTGTCTCTGCATTGAACTCTCAGTAGGCGCAGCAAACAGGCTTGTTCTAAGTAATTAAGCTGAGCCTCTTTCAGTGAAGCTTGTGCCTGAAAAAAAAGACATAACACTAATTTTATCAATGGCAGAATTCTTGGCAAAATAAAGACTTGTGATTTAGTATCTTAGTGATAGGTGTAAAGATACATTATCATCAAAAATTATATATTATAAAATAATTATTTATTATTATTTTTATACATCAGTGATCAAAATTTATTTTTAAAATATTCATGCTACATTATAACCTCATTTAAACGGTCCTGATCCTCTTTATTTAATCTTCCTCGCTCTTGTAGTAGCTGATCTTTACCAACCTGCAACTCCTCAACCATTATTTCAGTTTTGGGCGTGCCCCAATTTGGGGGGGCACGCCCATAATCTGTTTGGCGGGAAGTGCTAAAGTTAAAATGGCCACTAGGGGGAACGCGAGGTGGAAAAACAAGAGACGAAAAAGCCTTTACGTAAGAAATACCTATTAGTAGAGTCTTATATGTTATATTAACACCTTCAGAACAAGGAAGATACCAGCAACAAATTTATATATCGATCTTCATCTCCTTCTCCAGCCCCTGATCCTTCTCTAGACTCTCCTGTCGCCTCTCCTCCTCTGCAAAAAGCTCCTACTCTCTCTCCTCCTCTTCCTGCCCTCTCTCTTCCACCTCCAGAGCCTTCAATTAATGATCCATCAAGTCAGTTTATTTAAAAGTTAAGCTTATATATATTACAAAGCCTTCTTTCTTCTCTTAGTCCCATCTACTCCTCTTGCCCCTCCCACTCCTTTTAGGGAGAATGTTTCACTGAGTTAGTTTATTTTGAAAGTTATATTGTGGAGCTTTCTGTCTTCTCTCTTTTAGAAGCTTTGATCCAGCCTACTCCTCTTATTGCTCCTCCCACTCCTTTTAAGACACATCAGGCACCCACAAATGATTTACCGAGTCAGTTTGTTTTGAATTCTCTATTGACGATTTTCTGTCTTCTCTCCTTTAGAGGTTTTCCCATCTCCTCCCCCTATTGCTCCTCCCACTCCTTTTAGGGCACTTGAAGTACCAACAAATGATTTACCAAGTCAGTTTTGTTTTAAATTTTTTATTAAGGGTTTTAATAATTTTTGTGGTTGCATAATTTTACTTTTTTGTGGGATTCAATATAGCAGTAGAGCTCTTGCAATTAAATAATCAAAGGGTAGGGTGGAGCTTTGTGCCGGCCATGTTGAAGTATAGAGAGAATTGAGTTTGAGTATTTCCATGCAAGTGATTCATGTGTAGCAGTCAGCATGTACATGTAGTATACTAATAATACTATCATGACTTTGTATCATATTATATTGTTATTTAATACTTATAGACCAGTTGGCGCTAAGTATATTCATAGAATTTTGAGTATATTCATTGTGATACCGTAAATAAAGTAAAAATTTTCCTACCGCCATTTTGGAGTCTTAGTTACTAAGAGTAGAATGGGAGAAAGTAATATCTTTGCTTCTATATCTTCTAGTGGCACTTATTAAAGTCCATGAGCAACTCTAGACACTGGATGATGGTCAGTAAGCAGTAGCAATATTGCTGTAACAAATAAATACAGCAGTTTTTGGAGAATAAGCTCTTTTCACGATCGCTCCATAGACAACCATTGGAAGTAGGACTCCAAAATGGCGGAAGGAAAATTTTACTTTATTTACAGTATCACAATGAATATACTTAAAATTCTATGAATATACTTAGCACCAACTGGTCTATAGTACATGTGTTATATTGTTACTGCATGTAGTTTGTGTACCGGAAATTGATGGTCGTATCGCAAGTGCAGCTGTTGAAGAAAGAGAAAACGAGAAAAATTTTGAGAACAGGAAGAGTTCTTCAAGGGGTAAGAAAAGAAAGAAGAGAAAAGTAGATGATGAGGAAGTGGAAGCGTCACAAATTGAAAACGATATAGCCATTTATCTTGATGTTAACAAAATGTAAGCTCCTATCTGTGTACATGTACAGGTATGCATCATAATTTTTAATTTTGAAATGTGTGGTTTTTTGTTGAAAATTTAGTCCAAACGAAAAGTTTTCATTGACTGAAAGATTTATTTGGTTTATATACATGTATTTTGAAAATTTTATCCTCCCTCTCAAGTGTGTAGAGATGCTGTTACGATACTCTTGTATCTTATAGATGTAGAATGGAGATTGATAAATTAGACAAGATCCAAAATGAAATACTTACAGTAAGCGACGAGGACTGCATCCGACAAGCAAATGAAGAGATGAAGCAAAGCAGGAGATTTGATAAAGAAACTCAAGAGAGAATTAATGATTCGATAAGGAAAAGAATTGATGCCATTGTGAGCTCATTATTAGCTTTTGTCTGTCCTTATTGACTACAGTCTAGTGCTTTAATTTTATTTCAGCAATTGGCAATATTAAGACTGCCAGTCATTTGATGCACATACTCAAGGCCTTTCCACACTAGCACTTCTAATGCGCATTGAACTGGTTTGAAACCGGTTCTAGTCATTCCACACCTGAAGTCAATGTGCATTATCTCAAACTGCCTCCATAATGTGGTTTGAATGCGTATTCAATAGATAACCAATGGTAGCTGGATCAGAAATACTATCAAAATATACATGATCCTGAAGATAGTGTGGAATCACCTGATGCGCATTCATGAGCTGACTTCTGGAACCGGTTCAAGTGTAGAAAGGCCTTCAGTAATGCACATGCACACAAAAATCATCAAATCAAAAATACTAATTACAATTTTATAGTGAAATTGCCAAAATAAAACTCTGCCAAAATAAATTATTAGATGATATTTTGACTTTTCTTTTTTTTCTTATACCTTATAAATAGGAAATGCATGTAAAGAGAAAAAAAGAGATGCTTTTGTGCACACAAGAAACTCTCACTCCACGCGCTATCGTCCACAAGCTTTCAGCTCATGCATCCAAAGTTATCAACACTCCATTTTAGAACATATATTATTAAGTATTTTTTCTACTTTACCATAAGAAAATATGTTGCATTATCTATAGCCTTACTCATATTTGCCACTCATGTGTTTTTTAACATCAAGATTAGTCCTGGTGATTTTTTTACTCTTAACAGGGATGTACTGATAGAATTAAATACACAATTAATGCAAACAAGCAAGTGTTTACAACTGCAAGAGCCATATTTTACTATGAATATGGTACTATGAATATGGTAATGGTTCATACCAGTAAAAAGATAACATGACAACTTGATGACAACAAATTCCTCTGTGAATCAGCCCAACACTTACAGGTGTCAATTGCCTGCCCCCATTCTTTTCTAAATTATAAGTAAACATACACACCTTTATTAGTCTTGAAAATAATATGAACAACATCATTAGTGAAAGTGTCAGAAAGATGTCAATAGTTTTATTGTCTACATATAAAGAAATGAGATTCTTAATTATTTTTACAAATATCAAAACACTAATTTATATACTAAGACTTCTAAAAATAAACTATAATAACTGCAGCAAAAGTACATTATCTGTCTACTGAACGTATATCTCATAAAAGCTGACTGGAGTGTCTTCAATACTTGTTGACCATACTCCACAGACCCTCAGCTCAATATAATCAGTGCTGGTAGTGTTACCATAGTCTCTGTGAAACCATGGGATACTAGGAGCTGAACAACAAGGAACTTCATTAGGCCCACAACCTTGACCATCCCAGAGTGGATCAGATGTGAGGAGGCTATAATTTGCATAGATGTTTTTGTTAGCTGATTCACAATAATAATGACTACCGATGAACGTTTGGGCAAGTTGAAAACCGCCAATGTTACATGGACAATTGTAATATACATGGTGGATACTACGGATCTCAGAATTTCCAGCAACTAGAGTCCATATGTGTTTACGAGGAGACCCACGTGTGATTGAGATGCCATCCACATAACAAGAGTCAATTCCAACAGAACTAGACACCATGTTGTAAAGGGCAGCAGGTGTACCCCATTGATACCCCACTACTCTACCACATATTTGAGAATACCTAATACCATTAGATGGAAACCGAACTGAAGCACAGCTACTATCATCAGTTACTGGTCTGCCACAAGCTCTGATCCCTCCTGACTGCTGAATTGATAGCCCACTAGGACAGGATTGTGCAAGATTAGACATATCTAGGTATGCTAGTCTTGTCCACCCTTCTCCTGAACCACACAGAACTCCCATATTGCAATAAGTGGATCTGCCCCCAATATTATAATAACCTGATTTGATATTTGGTAGTCTTTCTTTGATTCTGTGGCATGTTGCAAAAGAGGGATTATCAGTAGCATCTGAGTCATTGGATGAGTCATCTGAGTCATTGGATGAGTCATTATGAATGTGAAACCTTACCAGCTCTTTTGCTAATAGTAGCACATCATCCACAGCCTCAGCAGTTGAGGCACTGGTTACATTGATGCTTGAGAGAAAGTCGACAACTGTGTCAAATTTTTCATTTGACAAATCATTAAGCATGTCCATGACATTCTTTTGAATGTCAGCCGACATACCTGTGGAAGGTTTTGTATGGGCTTGCAGTAAGGACAGATGCAGTAAGTAAGCAACTGAAATAAGGATAGCAGAGAGTAGCATCAAGGCAATGCACTGTAATGCTATTTGTAGAGGAAGTGCAAAACCGTTGCATGCAGACTTTGATGATCCTTGCTTTCTTTGAAGTAAGACACTTCCTCTTTTAATTGTATGATCAAGCTTTTCATATACCGGTACTGGGAGTTCATCATTTGAACTGTGGACAGCCACTTCTTGCAGCTCTTGATTACAGTAATTGACATTATCCATTCTCCAGTAGATCTATTATAATTTATATAAAACTTTGAAACTTAGATCCCTCCACTCACAGCAGTAGCTAAAATATTGCTACAGCTTATATAGCTACACTGCAGTTTCATACTTCCAATTGAGGAGGTACTAAAGTGAAGAGAAAGCTTTTTTGTTTATAGTTCTTCTCCACACAATTTGCACTTGAGGTGTTTTGGATTTCTAAGCCTAAGGAGGGGCTAGTTAATTAAGAGAACATGGGGTGTGGTTTTAAAATGACTAAAAATTTTAATAAAACATGGCTGTCGAGGAATTTAGGTTCAAGCTAGCAAAGGCTAAGGACTTGCCTCCATCTTGGTTCGAATTAGTTCTAGTGCCAAGAAAATTTCAAGAGCATATCATAGCTTTGAATGGCAATAGAAAACGTAAGCACATAAATAGTCAGATGACATCTTTTTCACAACTGAATTATTGTATTTATAATTATATAAAATTAATTATATTTATTATTGTTGTTATTTAGTTGAGCCATCTGCTCTCTCACTCATTGTCATTTTTCTGGAAAAGGCAGGATGCCTAGAAGGACAGGTAACATTTAGAAAAATCTATTTCTTCACTTTGTTTTCAGACCTTTTCTGAGGGGGCAGTGAAAATTTCCCCCGAGAGGAGAGATGTACTGATAGACTGTGCTCATTTTATGGCCGCTTCTCTTAACTGGAACCTAGCAACACTGGAGAAAGGGTATGTGTACTTGTACTTATACAATGTACATGTATATTATATTAATAATGTAGAAAGAATATCTACAGGTACATGTACATATACTTCAACTTCTATTAATGATGCAAATTTAATCATATTAAAATGTATAATCTCTTATATTTTTATACCTTTCTTTCTAGACTCCCTCCAGCTGCCATTTATTCATTAATGCTATCACTAAAGGACAAGTTTCATTTCCCTTCCTCTAATTCTCTCTCTGACGTCAGTCCTGGATCCGACCCTCCGCTTTGTCCTCTTCATGTTTCAGCGAACCTTTTATATCATCTCTGGATTGTTAGGTTTTGTTCAAATTGCGATCTACTGCCTCCTGCTCAGGGCTTGCTTTGGGAGGGTACATGTGCTCCATTGGAGACCATCAAACAATTGGTATGATTATTATAATCATGTATATTGTTGTATTATTATTATCATTATTAAACAATTGATATGATTATTTTAACTACGTGCATGTATATATATATATTTTATATTTACATTTACTGTATTATTATTATTATTATTATAATGCAAGTAATAAGAAACATTACAAATAAAATGGAAAAATGTAAGGAAACTTGTAACTATTTCTCTTAGAAGAGGAGTCATGATCACTTTATTTTTTTCACATTCAGCCATTTTGTTGCAGATATTTGTCATTTTAGTTTGTATGTACAAGTACAAATGTAATAAGCAATTCACATTATGTACAGCCATTAAAATTAATGTGCAGTAATAATAATAATAGAATCTATTCTCTTCTCTTTTAATTTATTAATTTAATTTTATTAATTTTAAGATTACAAATCAAATGCAAAAAGCAAGAAAACTTGTAACTATCTCCTTATTCTCTTCTATTAGGTATTACCACTCGTTGATGACTCGGTTTCATTTCTTTTACAAGTTATTCCTCTTCATTTTGACTATCCGCTACCCTCCATTAGTATAACATTGGCCACATCACTCACTCCTGCCTCTGATCCACTGGTTGTAAATTTACCATCTCCTATTGAAGCTTTCCCTAGGGATAAGATTCATGCTCAAGTAAGTTGAAAATATGGATAATTGTTAAGAAGAGCAAAGCAATACTTTAATGGTGATCAGGGTTTCCCACAAAGCATGCTACATGTGTATGTGTGCTAAACGGCATGCTTCATGAGTTGACAAACTCTACAAAATCAAGCCAAAGTCCCTGTACTATAGTACATGGTCATCGGCCAAATTTCGCCAAAAATATTAAGTTGAGAATTCTACATTTTTATAATTTTTCCTGACGCATATACACATTTTTATGTTGTGTAGAAAGTTTGAGTTGATTCAAATCAAAATTGGATTTTTTACAAATTTTTTAAGCTGCTCCAAAATCAAGCCAAAGTCCCTGTACTATAGTACAGGGTCATTGGCCAAATTTCACCAAAAATGACAAGGAGAGAATTTTACATTTTTATAATTTTTTCTGATACATATACATGTTCTTATGTTGTGTAGAAAGTTTGAGTTGATTCCGATCGAAATTAAATTTTTTACAATTTTTTAAAATTTGCTCCAAAATGGGGCCAAAGTCCCTGTACTATAGTACAGGGTCATCGGCCAAATTTCACCAAAAATGACTAGGAGAGAATTTTACATTTTAATAATTTTTTCAGATGCATATACATGTTCTTATGTTGTGTAGAAAGTTTGAGCTGATTCTGATCAAAATTGGATTTGTTACAATTTTTTAAAGTTGCTCCAAAATTGGACCAAGATCCCTGTACTACACAGTACACAGTCTTTGGTCAAACTTTACCAAAAATGAAAAGTTGAGAATTCTCCATTTTTATAAGTTTGCACATGTTCATGTACACTGTAGTACTTAAATTTTTTTTACTCTATTACATTGATCTCCATATCTGTCAATATTTTGATGATGTGTTTATGATTCATTGTATTTATTTGTATTTTTAGATCTTTTTTGATGTTGGGCAAGTACTATTTGCACAAGAGAATTACTCCAAATCCCTTGAATGCTTTCAATCCTGTCAGGAGCTACTACAGTCCATTTCTTCCTCATCTTCTCCTTATCCTTCGGTGGACACTGACCAGTTGAGAGGCTACGTCTCCGCTTGCTCTTCGTTTGACGTGGGTTGGGTCGATGGGGCGGAGTCAGAGGAGGAGAGACAGGACGAGAGAGTGGGTGTGGTTGTGATGTGTGAAAATTTGAGGAAGTCGCCAGAAACAGGACTGGTTAGTAATGTGTCCTTGCAACCATTTTACAATGTACTGTACATGTATGAATGAAACAGTTACAAATACATCAATGAATTAATTATTATTATTATCATTATTTTTTTAAATTATATTTATCACTATTATGGAAGATTTTACAACTATTTTAAAACTATTTTTTAAGATTTTAAAACTATGTAAAACTTTAATTGTATTTTTGAAGCTACATCTAAATGTACTATCGATGTCCTCTTTTTCTTCTTTCTCTCTCTCTCTCTCTTGCTATCATTAGTTGGAACTGCCACTAGTTTTTAACTCAATATCTAAGCTATCCGAAGCATATAGAACATGTTTAAGCCTCGAAGTATCCGATTGGTCGGAACTGGTTGCCATGGAGCCTTCATCAAGCAAGAGATCTCGTCTTGTTGAAGAGGAAGAGTTTCCTAATATATCGGTTTCCACCCAGTTCAACCTGTGGAATTTAGTGTGGTCAGTTATTGAGGGAAAAGGGCTGCAGCCTATTGCTTTGAAGAACTTGACTTCATCTCAGATTGAGGAGAGAGAATTGACAGGAGCTTTACTTAATGTGAGCTGCCACCTACAGTACATGCACCTGATATCCTTTACATGTTTGTAACTGCATCTAGTAGCAATTAATGCCTCATGACTATAATGTACTAATAATGTGAACCATGCTCAGTAGAGAATTCTCAATTTTTATAATTTTTATGTATGTACATGTACATGTACATGTTCTTACATTACGTACACAGTACTGTACATGTACATGTATGTTGTTATTATTATTATTATTATTATTATTATTATTATTATTATTATTATTAATTCATTATTATTATTAGGTGATTGAGAGGGTCTTGAAGGACATTGAAGGCTCCTCCATTGATCATGAATTAGCTTATCAGAGGCTTAGCCTATTGACTAGTAGCATCAATGTTGATAGCGAAGACACTTGGAGGAAATACGAGAGAATCAATAGACTGCTCTTTAAGAATGAGGTTAGTCAGGAAGGAGAGATTTATTTTGGAGAAAATAAATTACTAAATACTTATAGTTTATATTTGGCAAAATTATGGCCATGTACTATTAAGCAGGTTTAGAAATGCAATTTAATAAAAATAAATGTTTTAATTTATGGTTTAAAATTGCAGGTGGCTCTCAAATTGCTTAAATTTAGTATTTCCTCAAAAATTGTAAGGGAAAGTATTTGACAATTATGTTCTTTATTATTCAGGTTCCTTGCCCTTGTGTTGCTAGTGTGAAGTTGTCTCCTTCTCTTCTCTCTTCATCCTCTGATTCTGATCCTCTCAGTGGACTCATTCCCATTCTCCTGTCCTCAGACCCAAACCAAATGCTTGAGGATATGAAGACTCTATTTGAGAAAGTACCGGAATCAGAACATGTCAACATAGCAAAATCAGTTAGTTATAAATATACAGTACATGTACATGTACATGCATGAAATAGTAATACATGTACATGTACATGTAAAACGTATTCATTTTAAAATTAAATTATTTTTTGTTTTATTAGTTGAGAGGTGGAGATAGGGACTACGTTACTGCTGATCAAGTCATGAGTAATTCATTAGTAGCAGCTCAGTACAATATGTTAATGCAAAAGGCAGAGTCTTGTCTTAATGAAAGAGTGAGTAATGGAATCATACTGATATACTAGTAATAGCCATTGTTTGTGTCATATCATCTCATTCATGTTAATACCATTGTACAGTACTGTGTGTGTTAGTGCATGTATTTTGAAGTTTTAGGTTACATAAGTTTTATTATCTACACATTGTTTTCTTTAGCTGATGCATGTACAGTACATGTACATGTACTTTTTCTCTCTCTTAGAATTTTTCTCTGGCTAATGAGTTCTATTCCTCTGCTGCTCAGTTCCTTACACACAACTCTTCCATTCCCAGTCCACTTCGGCATAGACTCATTCCCATACTCATGGAGACCAGTCTCAGAATGAGAATAATATCAGCCTCAAACTCACTTCGGAGCCTCTCCAATAAACAGTGAGTGGATGGCTCAATGTCTGTCAGAAAATCTAATAAATGGAGAATTCTCCAGGTTGTTGTAATAAAATACAATGTACTGTAGTACAGGAACTTTGGTATGAATTTTAGTAATTTTAAATGAATTTTAATGAATTTTAGTTCCATTGTCACGAAATCTGTGACAAGCAAAAACCCATTGGTTTCATTGTCACAAAATCCGTGACAAGCAAAAACCCATTAGTTCCATTGTCACGAAATCCGTGACAAGCAAAAACCCATTGGTTCCATTGTCACGAAATCCGTGACAAGCAAAAACCCATTAGTTCCATTGTCACGAAATCCGTGACAAGCAAAAACCCATTGGTTCCATTGTCACGAAATCCGTGACAAGCAAAAACCCATTGGTTCCATTGTCATGAAATCTGTGACAGGCAAAAACCCATTTGTTTCATTTTTACAATCATGATAGCATTATTTAAATTTGTCTGGTGGATGTAAAAAATGTTACTTTTCATCTCTTTTGTCACATTCAAGTGTCATGCAAGCTCATTATTATTTTTTTCTCTAGAGCTTGTGAAAAATACTCGGCACTGATTGATGAGGCAAAGAGCCACTACAGCAACAATACCAGTAAATATTGATGTAAACTATTGTATTATTAGTCCTTTTAACTGCATCTTGCTATTTCTTTATCTTTCTCTCTCTCCCTCTTTCTCTCCCTCTCTCTCTCTCCCCCCTCTCTTTCTACTCTCTCTCCTCTTCTCTGCTGTTATTAAAGATCCCAATAGAGATCTCTGTATTACAACATTAAGTGGTGTTTTCCTCCTAAACCTCCAGCAGTATAGCTTCCTCATTCGTTCTGATCACATTAACCTTCACGAGAGAGTCAGTCAAATCATTAATGCATTTATAAGTGTTCTTTAATGTACAATTATAAGTACAATGTACATGTATATATGCATGCACTTTACGTTACATGTATGATTGTACACATAATTTCTCTCCATTCATTGTATACTTGCTACTGTGCTTATCATTTTTCAATTTGTCTTTTTCTATTTTTTGGGTGTTTCCTCTTGTTTAGATTTGTCCCAAGTTAGCTGCAGCTGCTCGGTCCATTCAAGAAGGCCAGGACCTGAGGAGGTGCACCAGAGAATTATTTGAAACCAGTCAGTTTGAGATAAACTATAGTATTCACAATATGCATTTGTATTAGTTATTATGATTATGTGCAAATTTAGTACTTAAAACTACTCATACTGTTTTGCTACATGTAAGTGTAAAAAGTTAAGATAAAATAGCTTCAGTACATGTATATGTATACTTGCTCTTTTTAATATATGATTTCTGTACTTATTCTTCACTGTATGTGTACATGTATATTATTATGATAGCTCTTTATGTACAATGTAGTTTCTAGTGTCTTTACAACTCCTGGTGGTAGAGGAGGAGGAGGAGATGAGAAACAACAGTTGCAAAGGTTCGTGCTAATTTGCATATACTGTATAATGGAATGATGTTTGTATTACATGTAGGAAGTATCTTGAAGTGATCACAAACAATTTACAAGTAATTTATTTTTTAATAGTTTTTAAAAAACGTGTACATTTCTCTCTCTTTTTGTCCCTCTCTCTCTCTCTCTCTTCACAGGATCTTGTGTCTCTTTCATATCTAATGGCTGCTCTAGCCAGACTGTGGAACATTGTTAAGGTATCATGAACCTCCTCATTTTGATTATTTAAAGAGTGTCATCAATACATGTATAGAAACCAGAGTTTGACATCACAATTGAATACACAGGATACTGGCCAACAGCCATAGGACAGTGAGTAAATTAGTACGTACGCGTGTATGACATAATTGACATTACAAGTTTACTAAATGTTTGTATGTACATGTACATGTGTATTTATAGTAGTAAAAGAGTTTTTTGAGGACATGTATGTTTCACATTAATCAAAATTAACATTCATTCATTTTTAAAAATTGCCAAAATTTAGCTCTTCCTAAATTACAGTATCTTTTTTCTTCTTCTTTTCTCTCACATTCTCCTCTCCATCCCACAGCACTAATAGTATCAATGTTGATGCTGTGTTGAGACTGTTGGAGGGTCTTGTCTCCTACTCCCTTCGTCTGCTTCCCTCATACTCTTCGTGGCTCATCATTCAGGGAGACATCTTTTTAAGTAAATACAAAAATGTATTATTGCATATCTCCAAATTTTTTTCAGTCAAAAATTTTATCAAAATCTTAATGTCTTGTTAATATTATTTTTTGGCAATAATTTTTTCGCATTTCTGCTTGTTACTCACGTGCAAAGAAAAACTCCTAACAAATTTAACAAATATTTTGACTGACTAAAATTTGGAGTGATGCAGTATAAAAATAATTATTGTTATCACTTAGCTGTGATGACATTGGATGTAGAGGCTAAATAAGAATAATCTTATAAAATATTTTTTATTAGCCACAGGCGATTATAACAATGCAATCAAGTGTTACTTGGAAGCTGGGGCACAAGAATCGGATTATTTTGATGTTGAAGTACCAGAATCAGTCTGGAACAAACAGGTATATCTTTTAAAGTATTAGAAATTAATATATGCTTTATCCTTTCATTACACCATTTTAATAAATTATTCAATTTCTGATAAATACCCTATACCATGGCCCATGGTTTTTTCAGAAAATGGTTCTGAAATGACCCCCCAAAATTTTATTACATTTTCTGATACATATTGATGTCCTTATGCTATGTAGAAAGTTTGAGTTGATTCCGAGTTTAAATTTTCAAGTTACAGTCATTTAAAGAAATGGGCCGATTTTTAAAAAATACCCAAGGCTATAGCCTTGGGTATGGTTTTTTCAAAAAATGGCTCCGAAATCACCCTAAATTTTTATTACATTTTCTGATACATATTAATGTCCTTATGCTATGTAGAAAGTTTGAGTTGATTCCGACTTAATTTTTTCAAGTTATGGCCATTTAAAAAAATCAGCCATTTTTCAAAAAATTCCCTGTACTATAGCCCATGGTTTTTTCAAAAAATGGCTCCGAAATCACCCTAAATTTTTATTACATTTTCTGATACATATTGATGTCCTTATGCTATGTAGAAAGTTTGAGCTTATTCCGACTTCAAATTTTTGAGTTATGGCCATTTAAAAAGTAAACCAATTTCTAAAAAATGGTATGTACTACATGTATAATTATCAGAGTTATAGAATGTTTTATTTTGCAGGTTTACAATAGGCTCATAGTCTGCTGCTTAAAACTAAATTATCAAAGCCACGTGAGTATCATGAAGAATGAATGAGAGCCCAGGATTTAATATAAATATCTTTTGTTTTTTATAATCCAGGCTTTAATATTTTGTCAATTTTTTGATCCTCCTAACTACTCCTTCACTTTCTCGCTATTAAAAGAGAATATCCAGTAAGGGCCACTAAATAGAGAGAAGTGTGTCAGAGCACTCTTGCTATGTACAGCTTTATTTTATGGAGCTTGCAGCTGAAGCTTTAAAATGGAAATGAAATATTAACAGTATTTTCTTTTATTTAGGCAGTTACTAGAAGACATGTTTGAGTATCTCTGGGACATGTCAATAATTGAATATCTCATTTGTATCCTATTTGCAACCACTTGCATGGAAAAACTCTGCAATTTACAAAACGTAATTTTTCCCTTAACATTTTCTTGATAGACTCACTTGGTAAAGTTGGAGATACAATAAAGCAAAGAGCAGCTGTAAGTATGCATGGATATACTGTACATGTACATACACATTACATGTACATGTACATGTATTTATTGAGGTACTGCAGTACATGTTGCATGTACATATTGAGATTTCGCGAAAATTATACTCTTCAGTGTTGCATGCTCGACCATTAGAATTAGCATTATTACTTGGAAATAATTACTACTTGCAATCATAGGAACAAAAATCTTTAATGGGAAGTTGTACTTCACACAGTTGTCCTTTTCTTCTACTAATGCATCTCATTTAATCTCTTTCTCTAATTTATCAGGTCCAAATTTCAAGCCAGTCTGAGCTTAACACAAATAACCATAAAGAAATACTCTGTCAAACTAGGACTATTCGCAAGAGAACATTCCTTAGGATTTTCTATCAAAGCATCAATAATATGTCACAATAAAATTTCACACATGCATGTACATAAGCTATGAGTAGTTGAATGGTTTTTTCTGATTGAAGTGAGCCTTAATTTCATCAAAATGTCTGTAAAGAATGTAACTTGGCTGACATTAGTACTTCGTGCTAGTACATATGTTTAAATACTGCAAGTGGTCATAATGTTGTATACCATTTGGACCTTATTTGATGCAAGATTTGACATGATTGTTCTTATTTAAAGTGCTACAACAAATAATAGGAACTGTTAACTAATAATAAACTAAATGACAAAATAATAATAACGTGCTACCTAAATCTACCAACAGTCTACTACATAACTAAAAGCTGCAGTATTTGTCTCTACTTGACATATATCTCATAGTATCCAACAGGAACATCTTCATTGCCAGTTCCTTGATCTCCACACACCCTCAGCTCAATATAATCAGTAGTGGTAGTGCTACCATAGTCTCTGTGAAACCATGGGATACCAGGAGCTGAACAACAAGGAACTTCAATTGGCCCACAACCTTGACCATCCCAGAGTGGATCAGATGTGTAGAGAATATTTCTAGCATCATTATTTTCTGCGTGATTACCTGATTCACAAAAGTAATGACTAAAGGATGATTGATTGCCGTTAGTGCAATGACAGGTAGCACCATTTTCAGTACCAGTGTCAGTGGATCCAGAAGCAAAGGTCCATACATGTTGACGAGATGATCCCCTAGTGATACTAACACCATCAACATAAGAACCATTAATATCTTGAGATATGACACTATGTAGAAGCCTAGATCTTTTCCTCATTGCATCTGTTGTTCCATACTGATATCCCACTACTCTACCACATATTTGAGAATATCTACTACCATTAGATGGAAACTGAACTGAAGCACAGCTACGACTGCTTGTTGCTGGCCTACCACAAGCTCTAACTCCTCCTGACTGGTACAGTCTAAACCCAGAAGGGCAGTTCACTGTAGGGTCATTCATATCCAGATATGCTAGTCTTGTCCATCCTCCTTCATTGCATAGTACTGAGTCCCCCATGTTACAGTAAGCATAGTAGTACGTAGTCCCATTTGATGACTTCAATAGATATACACCTGATGAACTGTTGTGTTGTCTGAGCTTCACTTCTTCACATGAGGCAGGAAGGGGGTTTAATGCTAAAATCAGGAGCTCTTTTAGCACTAGTTGTATATCACCAACTACTGCAGCAATAGATGTACTGGTATTAGTGTGATCAGAGAGAGCGTTAGTGATATTGATAAGCTTTGTAACCGATTCACTCGTTATTCCAATAACTTGCTGACATATCGTTGCATTGCTTGTATCATTAGATGCATATTGATCTAAAATCTGCAGCAGACTTTGTGATAGGATCTCCATTGATTGGCTGGTTTCGTGGCTGCCTTTAGAAGCATGTATCAAGTATCCTTCCATGCATAGTACAGCCACTATTGACAGTAATATTATACACAGTAGCGCTATAATGAATGGAATAATGATGATGAGAATTGGCTTTCCTTTCAATGCTCTTTTAGTGGTAGTTGTATGTTGGGCTTGGTCCAGTGTTTCATAGAAAGGAGAGACTTCTGGTGGCCCTTGCGCTTCATAATTTATGTTATTCATTGTAATCATCAGTAGTGCAGTATGTAAATTTAAAGATGGTGACTCTTTCCTTTATATACTGTCACTTTAAAAGCCATACATTTAGTTATAACTAAACTATTCTTATTAGTAAATAAACTAGTTGTTTTTTGCTCTGTTGTCTTAGCTTGTTATTGTCACTTAAAAATTGAAGACTAGTAGTGAAGTAAAGCTTTTGCACTCATTATCACATTCTGCTTTGTTGTTTTGGACCATTGTCTGTTTCCTCTTCCCAAATTAGACAGTCAACATATGAACTATGTACATTCATGGTTAGATACATAAGTCCAATGAATAATAATTTTCATAATGTTCAGATTGTTGCAATTAATTTTGTTGCAAGCTGCATGCACACAATTATGTTTGTGTAAGCATTTGAGACATTGTAGGGAACCATGCACTCTGGCTTTGCCAGCAAGTTTCAAATAGCTGTAAGTCTCCTCCAATTAGCTCTCTATATTTGTACCCATAACCCATGTATGCTTAATCGCAGTCAATGTCCAACTTGTCAATTGTGTGGGCAATCTGGCCTTTTAAAATTAATCCTGCATTGAATTTTATGTTGACTGTATAAACCTTCCTTTACTCTCATGGCACATTTGCCCATACATGTGTTGTGTAACGGTTTTATTTTTAATTGACAAAAAGTTTTTAAAAAGTAATATCTAAAATCTAATCTAATGTTAATGCTAAAGATCTGCATAGTATTTGTCTCTACTTAACATATATCTCATAATGTCCAACAGGAGCATCTTCATTACTAGTTCCTTGATCACCACACACCCTCAGCTCAATATAGTCAGTGCTGGTATTGTTACCATAGTCTCTGTGAAACCATGGGATACCTGGAGCTGAACAACAAGGAACTTCAATAGGCCCACAACCTTGACCATCCCAGAGTGGATCAGATGTGTAGAGAATATTTTCGGCATCATTATTTTCTTTGTGATTACCTGATTCACAAAAGTAATGACTAATGAATAATTGATTGCCATTAGTGCAATGACAGGTAGCACGCGTTTCATCACCAGTGTCAGTGGATCCAGATGCAAAGGTCCATACATGTTGACGAGATGATCCCCGAGTGATACTAACACCATCAACATAAGAACCATTTATAGCTCTAGATATAACATCATGCAGAATTATATTTTTATGCCTCATTGCATCTGTTGTTCCAAACTGATACCCCACTACTCTACCACATATCTGAGAATACCTAATACCATTAGATGGAAACTGAACTGAAATACAGCTAATACCATTCGACACTGGTCTACCACAAGCTCTAACTCCTCCTGACTGGTACAGTCTAAACCCAGAAGGACATTTCATTGTAGAGTCAGCCATATCCAGATATGCTAGTCTTGTCCATCCTCCTCCTGAACCACACAGCTCCTCCATATTACAGTAGATGCTTTTTCCATTGATATTGTAATGGCCTGATGGACTACTAGGTTGCCTCTTCTTGATATCTTGGCATGAAATAGGATTAGGGCCAGATGATGATGATTGATTGTGTATCAGCAGAAGTTCCTTTACTGCCACTAGTACTTCATTCATCATGTTAGCAGTAGAAATTCTGGTATTATTGAGGCTGGAAAGAGATTCGGATACTTTTGTGAGCTTTTTCGTATTTTGTCTTGTTTTTTGAATTAGGCCTACATGTATAAATCTTTGAGCGAAATGAGCACGTAGTTGTTGAGCGACTCGAGTTCCAATGTCATCACTGGAATTATTGAGGCTGATTTTATCTTGTTTTTTGTTGATTCCGTGACGTGTAGCAATAAGCAAGAGAATTGCCACTAGTAGCATTACTGATAGGCACAGTGTGGCAATGAGAATGATAAACGGTTTCCATTGCTTTGTACTTTGATCTGATGCTTTCAGCTTTGGTGATACATTAGCATTGTCATGAGAACATTTGTCACGTTTTTTATTGTTACGTTTTGGTAGATCAGGAATTATCTCCAAATACTTATGCATTTGCTCTGCCTTCTCCCCCGACTCTGGCACTATGATAGGATAATCATATAGAGCTGCCATTACTTGACGCACTTAAAAACAACACAGCTTACTAGCTAAGCTTGAATGCTTTATATAGCATGACTGTTTTCAGCCTATTGTTATCACTTTAAAATTGAAGACTGAAAGTAATGTAAAGCTTTTGCTTTTATTATCACTTCCATGCTATTTTGTTATTGAAATATCTTTGTCGTCAGTCTAAAAATAGATACCGGTATTTTTTTGGATTTATACACTTGTTAATGTGCAACATGTATTAGGAAGCCTATAATAAAAGTAAGGTTTTTCTGGCTATTATCATCTGATGTTTTTGTTTTTTCAAGATTGCTGTCATGGACCACAAGTAAAATAAGACACTCCCATTTTTAACACTTTGTTGTTTATGTATCAACAAGACAAAAAAATTATACAAATGGAGAATTTTCTCTTTTATTTTAGCAAAATTTGGTTAAAGACCATGTACTACAGTACAGGAACTTGGCCAAATTTTGCCAAAATTGAAAATGTGCAAATTCTCCACTTTTATATATTTTTTCTGACTACTTATGTTGTGCAGAAAGTTTGAGCTAATTCTGATAAATTTGCAAATTTTTTAAGTTGCTAAGAAATCAAGCCAAAATTTATTACAAATTTTCAAAGTTGTTTCAAAATTGGAGAAAAGTCCCTGTAGGCTTTTTGGTCAAATTTTACTGACTAAAAAGTATAGGTTATACACCGAGGTAGAGGTTTCTATGGTATTTATTAACCAAGCGACGCAGTCGTTAGGTTAATAAAATACTGTACTAACCAACTTCTATCATAACATTTGAAAAACAACTACCAGCTTCTGATAATAAGACCACAGTTGACATACATACAACATATCTAACAGGCTAGGCGGTAAAGAATCAACCAAGCTTGACAAATGGACTAATGAGAGCATCAGCGTAGAGCGCCAGGTTTCACTTATTTTATTTAATAAACCAAGAGGTTAATAAGTGTTCCCAGGAGGTTTCTAAGTGTTCCTGGGAGGTATCTAATAGATTTAGAAACCTGGTATTCTGCAAACCCACTAATAAAACCAAAAAATTAACTCCAATTGCCTTATTTGGGCATTAGAGGCATGTCCATAGTGCAGTATATAAAGAGCAGAATCACTCTATAGACTCAGTTTTTTTTCATTTTAGCTATACAATAATGGATAATGTCAATTATGCTCCTCAAGTACTAAAAATAGTCGACAGGCAGGATCAGAATGAAGATGTTCTGTATGACACTGTAGACCAGAATCGAATCACAACAGCTCGAATTCAAAAATGTCTCCCTCAGCGTAAACAACCTGTTGCTCTTGCTTTCATGATGACCCTCCAGGTTTTGATGCTGATATTACTGATTGCTGCAATTCTTACAGTCTACATGGTATGTCCTAGCAATGGGATTTGTTCTGATGGCGATGGAAGCATGGGTAATGTCGTCTCTAATAGCAGCAACATGCAGGGAGACTTAGGAACAGCAAAATTATCTCAAAAACTTGATAAAGTGGCCGAAACTCTCTCCGTTGTCAGCAATACAACTATTTCCGTAGCTGAAGTAGTTGAAGAGATATTTTCAGCAGTGCAAAGTATTAATGATCATAATGATAACTCATCATCTAAACCTCTTCTTACGTCTTGTCAAGAGATGAAAAAGCAACTCAACAGCCCATCAGGATATTATGACATCAACAGTAAAAGTACTTACTGCAATATGGGAGAGCTTTGTGGCTCAACTGGATGGACAAGACTAGCATATCTGAATATGTCTGATGCTTCGCAGAACTGTCCTTCTGGGCTTAGGTTGTACCAGTCAGGAGGAGTTAGAGCTTGTGGCAGACCAGTGTCGAATGGTGGTAGCTGTGCTTCAGTTCAGTTTCCATCTAATGGTATCAGGTATTCTCAAATATGTGGTAGAGTAGTCGGATATCAGTATGGAACAACAGATGGTTCTTTTGATGGAGTTACTATTACACATGGGTTCTCGCAACAACTCGTGTGGACTTTGATGGCTGAATTATTCGATTCTTCTCTTCTTCCCCGTTGTCCTTGTAATAGTGGCCAGCTTGTTCTTGGTGGTCACTTCTTTTGTGAATCAGGTAATCACGACCATTCATTTCCAGTCCGTCGAGATCTTTTCATATCTGATCCACTCTGGGATGGTCAAGGTTGTGGGCCTAATGAAGTTTCTTGTTGTTCAGCTCCTGGTATCCCATGGTTTCACAGAGACTATGGTAACACTACCAGCACTACAGATTATATTGAGCTGAAGATTTGCTGTAATGAGGGGACTCATAATGAAGATGTTCCAGTTGGATTTTATGAGATATATGTTAAGTAGTTCATTATTCATGATTATCATTTAAATTACACAAAGTCACTAACTGTGCATGTCAAATACTGTAGATCCCCTATCATTAATTATGTTTCAAAATTAAAATTTAAAAAATTTTCAAATTATTATTCATTAGCCACGTGGTCTTGTTGAAAAGAAAAGAAGAAGGCAATGGAAGATGCGGACAGCAGTGGTGATGAGCATGAATTCAGCTCTGATTTCAGTGACCACGACTCTGATGAGGAGCATTCTTCGTTAAATGATATGAGAGATTATCCGTCGGATCTATCTTATTCAGACCCTAGCAATAGTTCTTGGCTCTCAGGCATGTTTGGCCCGTGTAATCGGTACCAAAACTACATATCTCCCGAAGACTTTGACAATGAGAGCGAGGCTGAGTCTGACGAATTTGATGAGTCCTTAGACAATGACAGTGATAGCTCGAGTGATCATAGTGAACCACCAGAACTGTGGGCTAATTCCCTGCCTTTTTTGAGTATACAGTATACTGGTCGGAACCCTTTAGCTTCACGAAAACCTGGTGTAATGTCTTATCCAGCTCCATTACAGCTCCAATGCCTTTTATTTATCATCGGTCATATTTTTGAACCAGGTGACGATCCTGACATACCGATTACTTCACTGGCATTACTACCTCGCCGCATTCGTATCAAACTCCTCCTCCTTCTACCAGCAGTAGATGTGTGCAAGTTGGAGTGTACACCATTTACTCGTGATATAATAATGGACGAGATATGGGAGAAGCTCTACAAGGAGAGGATGTCGTCCAATTTGTTACACATGTTAAGGCAATTAAAAGGTATAATTCTCACAGAATCTGAAGAAATTACCAGGTTTGGAATGAATTGGAAGGACTACTATTTTAGCATAGTTTATTTGATATCAGAAAGACATTCGTTGGCGGATCTAATAAAAGACGAGTGTGATTGTAAACAGGATCATTTCTTAGAATCATTATTGTATTCAGTTAATGGTTTGTACAACTTCTCATCAGATGTGGTCAAGTGTTTCGATATGACCTACTCCCAGAGTATCCACGGGGTATTTCGTTGCTCTTTCAGATGTCACCTACTCACTACGAAATATCATTACGATAAGTTTACTATCAACCCAAGGTCGAAAAGCACTTTGTTGACATTGCCAGATATCATTGATATTTTGGTAGATTGTCAGGTGTCACTTAAGTTACTAGAAATTTCACACGAATCTATGAATCAAATATCGTCTCGCATCAACAGCAGTGCACTATTTCTTGATAAAGTGAGGCATTTGTTGCGATCTCTGGAAGCCGTGAGTATTAATTATAGTTCCAAAGTCAATAAAAATTTGTCACAGGATCACATCAAGGTATTCCTAGATATCATATTTGTAGACAACAAGTGTGCTATCAAGTTTTTTCAACTGGAGGATTATCATCGCATTGTCTGCCCTTATCTCTTACGACCAGATTGCAAATTGAAAGAATTGGTTCTTTATGCCAATGTACATAAGAACACTGTTGTTCGCCCTGCATCCACTGCTTATAATCTACCAATAGGTGAAGCTATAAGCATCATTTACAGGAAATATTTCTCGAATTTGTTGTGTCAAGTCTTAGAGAGTCAGACAGAGTTGGAGAAACTTGTGTTTTGTCCTGCAACCGTTCCTCATTTTAAAGTGGATTGTAGTTTGGAGCACAATAGTGTCATGCAGTCTGTAGGAGAGTTGTTACACAGGCCTGGTTTCAAGCATCTAACTTTTGATTGCTGCACTTTTAAAGGCTACTTATCATTTGAGGCCCTTTGCTTCATTTTCAGTAAGTTCTTCATTTCTCCATATCCAGTGAGCATTGAGATCCTTCTCTCCTGCCCTTTGGAAGTTATACCTCTTCCTGAGCCATTTTCAGTCAATCCTGAGCAAGCATCGTGTAAATCACTTATCATTGAAGAATCCTCTCTAGCACCAATTTTGGCTTCTGTCTTTCCTCAACATCTCATCTTAAAAGTTTTGAGTTTGAAAAACAATAACTGGAATGTTATTCAAATATTTGCTAGTCTTCAGTCCATTGTAGTCGATAGTTTCGAGCTTGCTACCAACAAACGTATTACTGAATCCAGTATCAGTGACATCACGACATTATTTCATATTGTAACAGCAGGAGAGTGGAAATTGGATCTTAGTATTGATGACAATCAAAGTACAGTAGATGCACTTGCTTCTGCTTTGCCAATAATTGGAGATAGTCTAACTATGTTTCATTTCATCTATGATGAATCGAATCCTCTCTTATTTGATGGATTCACATGCATCATTGAAGCTTTGTTTCATTGCATCTCCTATTCCAAGCCACCTTACTTCTCTCTGAAGATGTCAAGTATGCAACTGACTGATGGGATTGTGAGTGCTATTGTGAACGCAAGGGAAAAATTAGAGCCAGCGATCAAACTAAAAAGATTTATTGTTTACGACATCATGGATGAAGATACAGTGGAGTATTATGCTAATGCATTGCAGGACATAGCAGTTGATCTTGATTTGCAAGAATTGGGTGAAATTTGAGATAAATAATGCACTTAATAATTCTGACATCACTGTTGTATATACATGGATCTAGTTGTTATTATTATCTATAAATAAACATTTCATTAATCATTTTAAATTAAAATACCGGTGGGTTGTACCTATAATAGTTAAATTAATCCACAACCACGTGCAGAAACATGTACAGAAGAGAGAAATCTGTGGATGAAGAATTTAGACTTGTTGCTTATCATTTAGATTCTATTGATTTGATTGATTTGTACACTTTGATTTAAAAGATAAATATTTCACTCTTTAAGTTCATTTCAGGCCTAAAAATTCACAAGGCATTTTTTGTTTTATTGGCTTTGATATATCCCACTTGAGTTTGATTTATTTCATTAATGTTACAAATTGCTATGCATTCAGCTCAACCTTTATGTATAAAAATCTAATTTGCGTCAGAATCAGGTCAAATTTGCTACACAACATTGAACATGTATATTTATCAGAAAAATTTATTAAAATGGAAATTTCTTTACTAGTCATTTTTGACAAAATACCTAAATGGCTTATTTCAAAAAGGCATGCCCCCTTGAACTTGATTTACGACAATTAAAATTAGCCAATTTCCCCTCCCAAAATGATGTCAATCGGTTGAAATAAACAATTCAAGCACAACTAATTTAAAATACAACAAAACAACAAGTATAGGACAATTAATAGAATGAGAAGATGAATTTAAAATATTATTTATTGATATCATGAGTTTATTTTGAATGTGGTACACGTTGACGAGCTACTTTATGCTCGTGGCAGCAGTCATCCCAGTCTCCATCATCATCACTAGTGTCACTGTCATCTCCATTCTTATGAGGTTTAGTGTATATACAGCAACCTGTATGATGCAGTGAATATTAATATTAATAATGATACCACAATTCCACATTAAGTGTCAGTGACATAATTATACATGTAAAGACAATGTTTAGCATTAAAGTGTACAAAATCAATCGTATTTCATTGATATCATAGTTCCACGCAGCACTCCAACCACGAACTAAGTTTAAAATTTGAAAAATGCAATTAGAGTTGGAATTAAGCAAAAAATGGTCTCGTAAATGAGCATACAATATAAATGTACGTATGAGACAATTATAATATAAATGGAGGTGTTAATCAGAGGTTAATGCTTATCGTTTAATGTTTACAATACTAAGTCTTTATTTAAACATAAAAGACAAATATAGTGACATATGAGCTCACATTTTGACTTCTTCTTCCCCATAAACTCGTTATCCACTACTTCTTCACCCCACTGAACCTTCTTATCAGTCTTGGGCTTACCACGGAGATGTAGGACCATTTGAGCCGTCGGCTAAGCATTGTAATAATGAAAAACAAAGACTGGCTCATTCTTTAAACCTACCTGGGACTTTTCTTGCGTTGTAGTGGTCGTAGAAGTAGACAGAGTGATTGTTGTTGCTTCCGCCATTTTTATTCAGTGCGCTCTAATTGGAATAAATCGTTGCTAGGATACTCAAATACAAAATGGCCGACTCGAGTGAAAAACCAGATGAGATAAAAGAAGGTGAAAAGCAGTCTGCTCCTTCCGTTGAAGACTCAAAGAAACAGGATAAAGACGAAAGCAAACAAGATAAAGATCCTCCTATGGAAGAAAAACCAGAAGAAGGAGAGAAAAAAGAGGTGGATGTGAAACCAGAGACGAAAGAAGAACCTGAAGCAAAGCCCGAGGTAAAGCCATTACCACCTCAAGAAGACAAACAGGAAGAGCCTTCAAAAGCTAAAGAAGAAGTAGGAGAAGAGGAAGAGGAGGAGGAGATAAATTATGAATACAACGAGATGTACTCTAAGCCTATTGTGTCAAAGCTACCACCAGACACCCTCCAATTCATGTATCCTTCCATACATGTACATGTACATGTTTCTAAGCCCACTTTTAATTGTGTAGTAATTGTAGTGTTTTTGGGAGGCTGGCTAGGCCTTTTCCTTATTTTAAATTGCATTAAGTGAAGCATTAATTTTATCATAACCATTGCTAACGTTAGTACACACAATTGAATGTGACTTAAATTTATACAGACTAATGCAGTAGTTAATGTCTACCCATCATAATTGTACATCAATGAGTCAAATGTGGTGTAAAGTACATGCATTTACATGTACACGTATGTACATGTCTTTTTTCTATACTTAATGTACATGTACATGTACATGTACATGTACATGTACATGTATGTATGCTTACAATATTCCTTAACTCATTCCTACTACAGTCAGAGTTATGGGTACGACTGTCAGAAGCGTAGTAACCTGTTAGCCATTGATACCGATACCCTCCTCTACACTGCTGGGAATTACCTGGTCTTTATTAGCATATCAACCGGTGGACATACCTACCTTAGGAGTCTTGGAGGAAAAAGCATAGGAGCCATCACTGTAAGTATATACTAAATACTAGCATATTGTTGACTTATGCTGTGTTAGTTTGTTTTAGTACGGTTTTTATGGTTAAAAAAAACATATTAATGTTCACACACACACTCACAGGATAATTAAATCATTAATAAAAAAAAGAAAAAAAAAGCATATTGTTGTAATAATACTTGTGCATGTACTGTACATTAATAGTAAATCTATGATGCTGATATGCAATAAGCTTGTATGCATGCACCTCTGTATCATTGCTATAATTATTAATAATAGAATGCATGCACATGTAATGGTAACTCTATTATACTAATGCTCATGCAATAAGCTTTTATGCACCTTTATACATGTACATGTACATCATTAAACTTTTATCATCATAATAAATGTACATGTACATGTATGTACATGTACATCTAGAAGAGATATAGCAGTTATGAGATACTTACAATCTTTAATTTCAAGAAATAATAGCATCATTTTGAATGAAATTAATAACAGGCAATTTCCATACAGCCATTCTCATATAATACCAGAATCTACTCTACATATACATGTACATGTATATAATTATTTCTTATGTAGGTGAGTCCATCCAGTGAGTACATAGCTGTTGGTGAGAAAGGAGTCAATCCTTACATAGCAATATACGAGTATCCTAGTCTGAGACTATACAGAATACTGAGGGAAGGGACGGAGCAGCTGTACTCTCATTTGGATTTCAATCCAGATGGGTCCCTCTTAGCTAGCATTGGTGGTAATCCTGACTATATGTTAACAGTTTGGGACTGGAGAAAGGAGAGTATAGTGTTGAGGAGCAAAGCTTTCTCTCAGGATATCTATCGGGTTTCTTTCTCTCCCGAGCTCCCCGGACAGCTCACCACTTCCGGTACTGGTCATATTAGATTCTGGAAGATGGCGACCACTTTCACTGGCCTGAAGCTTCAGGGATATTTAGGGAAATTTGGACGAACTGAGCTCTCTGATATATCAGGTACAAATGTAACTGTAAATGTAAAAAATGAGATGTGAATAAAATAAAAGTAAATGTAAATGTAAGTATTACTGTGCATTTACATTATGTACATGTACATGTTGTTGTATGGTAGTAGTACTTTGATGCTCTTTTTGTTTTAATTTATTATGTTCAATGTAGCTTATGTTGAGTTACCTGATGGTAAAGTATTATCAGGGACTGAATGGGGGAACCTCTTACTCTGGGATGGAGGATTCATTAAAGTTGAATTAGCAAAGAAAGGAAAGAAACTCTGTCACAATGTAAGACATTGTTCATTATAGCAGTCTTTGTATTCATACATCTATTGTGTGTATTGATAGGGTAATGTAGAGGCACTGTTCCTTGATGAGGGAGAGCTTATATCAGCAGGAGTGGATGGATATATTAGGGTATGCTAGTGATTGAGTATAAAGTTTTATAGTGTAATATCAAGAGTATATGTACATGTACATAAATCCTAATGTACAGTGTACTCTTGGTAATATACAATATGCATGTGCGTGTACATGTAAATGCATTATGATGGTTTTAACTACAATTGTATCTCTAGTTCATATTGTAACTAAAACTACATTACATCTTTAGTTTATAGTCTTTTGTTATGTTGCTTAATTATTAGATTTGGGACTTTGAGATAATTGATGGTGCTGACATCACTGAAGAGAGCACTGTGTTTGAGATGGAGCCATTGACTGAAATAAAAGTAAAAGAGAGAGAGAAATAATGAAGAGGAAAGGGAGAGAGAGAGAGAGAGGGAGCAAAATATCAATTGAAACTGATTTGTGTGTAGGTTGGATCAGACGTTAGCATTAAATCATTAACAAGATCAACAGATCCCAACACACCTACAATATGGTATGCACAGGATGCTAAAGGAAGCATTTGGAAACTGGACATTGTTGTATCACACACAGTAAGAGAAAGCTAAGTGTACATAATGTACATGTACATGTACATTATGTGCATGTAATTTACTGTAATAGTCTATAGATAAAGTGTGTCATTAGTACATACAGTACATGTAACAGACTCTAAAAATTATGCAATAATAACACATTAGCACCTGGTATGTGTAGTAACAGACACTAAGTTACTGATTTACTGTATTACCTTATAGGGGTTATATTTCACTGGAAATAAATTTCGCGAATTTCGCGTTTTCATTAAATTTGCGAAATTAAATTCCACAAAAGAGGTATGGCACACTGGAAAAATGGCTGCAGAAGGTAGATTCGTGAAAATTTATACCAACAAATGGCAGATCTGGAAAAATTCGCGAAATTTTATACCAAGAAAATAAAACCCCTATAAGGTATTAGACGTTTAGGGTCACGATTGTCAAAGGGTCTACATGTGGATATGTGTAGTTTAATGATCACTTTAATCACAATTAAGTGTTGATTTTATTATTGTAGCGTAAAGTCCCCGAGAAGTTATTCCGGTATCATTCCGGTCAAATAAAATCAATAGACACTTCACCAGTCACTCACTATGCTGCCAGCATTGCTGAAGATGGTTAGAATTTATTTATTATTATTATTATTGTTGTTGTTGTTACATGTATTATAATAACAATAGAGAATACATTTAATTCATTGATAACATTATTATTATTGATTATTATAATTATTTATATACATGTACAAACAAGTATTTATTCATTTATTTATTGTTATTTATTTTATTGTTGTTATTGTAGGTAGTGTTCGTGTTTATGATCTTGAGTCTAATAAGTTATTGTGTCATTCAAAGTACACCTCAGGAGGTAATTCATTGATATGGGCTCCACTATCAGTTGATCCTAATGGACTAACACTGATCACTGGTCACTCTGATGGGGTATTGAGGTACAGTATTAGTATAATGTTTAATTGATGCTTGCTTGTTAATGAGCATTAGATCTGGGTTTCCCACAAAGCATACTATTGCTGCGTTTACACTACAGAAGTGGGCCAAACCGTGCTGAACCAGGCTGAGCTGGCCCTGCTGTACTAACCATGCTGGCCTGGTTTGGCCCAGCTCACTTTAGCTCAGTTTGGTTACTGTTTACACTATCAAATGAAACTGTGCTGGCCCACTTTAAATAGGGCTGGCTCAGTTAAAGAAGCTAGTGTAAACACAGTATAAGTGAGCTAAAAGCATACTCCATGAGCTGACAGTCAAGTCTTATAGCATATACATGTACATGTACATGTACATGTACATGAATCAAGCTATGCGTAGATTTTTAAAATTCATAAAAAATCCAATTTTGATCGGAATCAGCTCAAACTTGCTACACAGCATAAAAACATGTATATATATCAGAAAAAATTGTAAAAACGAAGAATTCTCTCCTAGTCATTTTTGGCGAATTTTGACCAAAAACCCTGTACTATAGTACGGGGACTTTTGTCCGATTTTTGAGTAACTTTAAAAGTTCGTAAAAAATCCAATTTTGATTGGAATCAGCTCAAACTTGCTACACAGCATAAAAACATGTATATGTATCAGAAAAAATTATAAAAATGAGGAATTCTCTCCTAGTCATTTTTGGCGAAATTTGACCAAAAACCCTGTACTATAGTACAGGGACTTTTGTCCGATTTTTGAGTAACTTTAAAAGTTCGTAAAAAAATCCAATTTCGATCGGATACAGCTCAAACTTGCTACACAACATAAAAACATGTATATGTATCAGAAAAAATTATAAAAATGAGGAATTCTCTCCTAGTCATTTTTGGCGAAATTTGGCTATAATAACCCTGTACTATAGTACAGGGACTTTTGTCTGATTTTTGAGTAACTTTAAAAGTTCATAAAAAATCCAATTTTAATCGGAATCAGCTCAAACTTGCTACACAGCATAAAAACATGTATGTGTATCAGAAAAAAATTATAAAAACTAAAAATTCTCTCCTAGTCATTTTTGGTGAAATTTGACCAAAAACCCTGTACTATAGTACAGGGACTTTTGTTTGATTTTTGAGTAGCTTTAAAACCCATAAAAATTTTAGAACATGTTGTTTGTGTAGCTTTATTTGGAAGTGTTTTATAATTTTAACTTTTGGTTTTATCTGGATTTATAGAGTATTATCAATAAATGAATTGAGTACAATATCCTCAACCTCTCGTGTTGGAGCTGGTCCTGGTACTCCAGTAGGTGACCTCTCGCTGGCTCATGCTTGCAAGCCTCACACTAAAGACATTAACTCAATATCTGTGAACCCTAGTGGAACAATACTGGCTACTGGAGTGAGTCAAATGAAACATACTAAATACTCTAATCTGTACATCATTAATGTACATGTATACTGTAGTACATGTACATACATGTGCATTAGTACATGTATAAATTGTGTACATGTACATGTACATACATGTATACTGCAATGTACAGTGGTTGTTATTTATGTGTACATATACATGCATCTCTCTTTCTCTCTCTCTCTCCTCTCTCTCCTTCTCTTTCTCTCTGTCTCCCTCCCCCTCTCTCTCTCTCTCTCTTTCTCTCCCTCCCTCCCCCTCTGTCTTCCTCCCCCTCTGTCTTCCCCCCTCTCCCTCCCTCTCTCTTTCTCTCTCTCTCTATAGTCTGCTGATGGCACTGTGTTTTTCTTAAATCTCAAAGACAATTATTCTCCCATTGGTTATGTCACAGCACCAGCTCCAGTGAAGCACATAGAATGGAATAAAAGAAAAGAAGGAGAAGAAGAAGGGACTACTCCAGCTAGTCTCCTAGTCTGTTGCAGTGAAGGCTCAATGGCATTAGTCACTCTACCTCCATCATTATTGGATATTGATACAACCCATAGCTATCACTTGAGCTCAGTTAAAGTTGTCTCTAGAAGCTTTGTGTCCATTAAGGACAGACTTAAGGTAAGAATTGGGAATTGCATGCTACACTATATACAGTACATGTACATCCTACATGTATTTGTACATGTACATGTACTTCTAATGATAGCGAAATGAATCATTTTGTTGATAATTATAATTATTATGGTATTTCCTGGGTGCAGCATAAAATTGTGACTATAGTAGCTGCGAATATAACTAAACGTATGGTATACATGTACATGTAGCCCTTAGGGTGTGGCAGGTTCTTAATGTTTTACATTTTTCTAGTAACTTGAATATAAAGTTGTACATGTACATGTATGTGTGTAGGCAAAGAGGGGAGCATAAGAAGTGCCCCTGATCCACGTACAGCACAGTTGACTTTATTGTTGGAGATTAAGAAGAAATAGTTTTAAAATTACATGTACAATGTACAATGTACATGTAGGTACTAGGTAGATTTTAGAAATACATGTAGATAGGTAGTCTTGCATAGCCAGACATGTGACTTCAATAACTTTGTGATCTATTAACACATTTACATGTACATACAAGCAAGCACATTTTAATCATAACTTGCTATAGCATGATTGTGCAATACAGAGACATTAAAAGCTGACACTTTGCGAAAGAAATTATTTCATCTTCATCTTGGGCCTTGGCGGTTGGTATCTCCTCACTCCTCTTCTCTCTTCTGCTACTCAAATACCAGGAACTGTAACTCATTCAACCACTAGTCTATAGTATCACACTATTGATGGATTCTCTCCCAGTTCCTCTTCTGATCCAGTGTCTCCTGTATTTAATAGGTAACTTGTTTGATGATGATGATAAACCTATTCCTGGACTAGCATTGCTACCTCGTTCTATTCGTATCAAACTCCTCCTCCTTCTACCAGCAGTAGATGTACATAAGTTGGAAGGTACATCAGTTACTGCTGATATATTAATGAATGAGATATGGGAGACACTCTACAAGGAAAGGAATCGCAATCGGCTAATGGATATAGATAAACACAATTCTTTATTTTCTTGCAAAGATTTATACTTTAGTGCTGCAATGGTGAATTCAAGAATCAATTACCTGATGTTTTATGAAGCTAATAAAGAATTGTCTGTATACTTCACTCATGTTAAAGAATCAGTCTATAATGATTACAAGATAGCAACCTTTCACAACGTTATTTGGGCACAATACATGTATCGAGCATTTATAACTACCAAAACTTTCAAAAGTAAAGCAATCATAGACTATTATCATTATTATCC